GTTACAAATGCAATGCATTTATAGACACAAATTCAGAGGCAAAAATTATTAACAATAAAAATCATTTGGATTCCACAACCAAATTCAGCATCATTAATAGTACATCAACATTTTGTATGTATACACACATTTTTGAAAATGCGGTCCTACTGTACTTACTCCTTAACCTGAGTTGTTCGCTAAGTGTTAGACGTTTTCGCCTGCATTTTTGTGCATGACTGTTAATGGCAACACTGTGCTTTGTTTTTGTTTTGGTTTTTGGTTTTTTTGAGATGAAGTCTCACTCTTGGCCCCCAGGCTGGAGTGCAATGGTGCAATCTCGGCTCAATGCAACTTCCACCTCCTGGGTTCAAGCATTTATCCTGCCTCAGCCTCCCCAGTCGCTGGGATTACAGGCGCCTGCCACCACACTCAGCTAATTTTTGTATTTTTAGTAGAGACGGGGTTTCACCATGGATGCTGTGCTTCTTGATGCAGAGGCAGATGGGGACTAGGGTAACCAGCCCCTTCTGCTGGACATGCGGCAGCTGGAGGTACAGCCCACTCCTCAGGCTGAGCTCCCTCCCTGGGCAGTGACAGAGGCTCATCTGGACACCCACGCACGGGTGTGCACACACAGCCGCTGCGCACCTTCTCTCTTCCCTGACCATCATGTTGCTCTCCACTCCCCCTCAGGTCTGGTCCATGGCTTCCCTCCTAGCCCAGTGCCAAGAACATGGGGGCGGAGACAGGCTGAACAGAAGTCTGTGTACAAACAGACAGATTTCCTCCCTCTACACAGATCCTTTCCCTCCACCCCAAACTTTTCCCTGCTAACTGTCCCTGGAATGTGGGGCTCCATGTAAGATTTCAATTAACAAGTTTGAAAGACATTACCCTGGACCAGCTTTATATCCCACCTGCTCCATCATGGGCCAACCTAGGGATGCCCTCCAGGTTATCACTTCTGGGGTGCAGTTGAGAGCGGACTCCCTCTAGTGGCCACTCTGGGGAAGCGTCCCAGGATGCCACGCTCCCAGCAGTCCCCAGGCAGAACCCTGGCCTTGGCTGAATCCATCGCTTTCTGCAGGGTCCAGCTCAAGGATCCGAGGCCTTCAGCTCACTTCTAGAGCTCTCAACACATACATCCCCCACAGATCTCCCAGGAGCTGAGCTATTGCCCAAAGTCAAAGACAGCAAATACAAATAAATGGAAATAGCCTCCAGCATGTTTCCCTGAGAGCTCTTTCCTGGGGGTGTCAGTAACTGAGCCCCTTGGGCCCAGTCTATGAAGCAGCCAATGAGCTGGAAATCCGAAGAGCAAAGGTCTTCAGTGACTCAGACATCAAACCTCGCTGAGCACTGCCCTTAGCTGGAACCCCATTATGCCAAAATCTCCTATGTCACAGTTCCAGGGGGATTATGAAGGGAAATCCATCTTCTTCCTGCACACTCAGGCATGAGGAGCTCATTACTTTGCCAGACAGCCCATTTCAGCCCACTCCATCCAGTCACCCATATGGAGAGGTGGTGGAGTACACTGAAAAGAACACCCAATTCTGACCTGGTTCTGACTGGCTAGCTGTGCGACCCTAGACACATCCTTCACCTCTATTGAGGAAAAGAGAAAATCCAGAGCCTCAGGGGACTGGAAGATGGAGATTCCGTGCCTGAGAGCCCCAGTGCACCCAGCCAGGGTACAGGCTGCTCTGGGAGTGCTGCCTCCAGACCAGCCCCTGGTGGAGGCCTTGCATGAGCCAAAAGACAGACAGAACATGGCCGGGCGCAGTGGCTCACACCTGTAATCCCAGCACTTCGGGAGGCTGAGGTGGGCAGATCGCCTGAGGTCGGGAGTTCGAGACGAGCCTGACCAACATGGAAAAACCCTGTCTCTACTGAAAATACAAAATTAGCCGGGTGTGGTGGTGAGCACCTGTAATCCCAGCTACTCAGGGGGCTGAGGCAAGAGAATCGCTTGAACCCAAGAGGTGGAGGTAATCCCAGCACTTTGGGAGACTGAGGCCGGTGGATTTCTTGAGGTCAGGGGTTCAAGACCAGCCTGGCCAACATGGTGAAACCCCGTCTCTACTAAAAATACAAAAATTAGCTGGGCATGGTGACGTGCGCCTGTAATTCCAGCTACTCAGGAGACTGAGGCAGGAGAATCACTTGAACCCCGGAGGCAGAGGTTGTAGTGAGCCGAGATCATGCCATTGTACTCCAGCCTGGGTGACAGAGCCAGACTCTATCTCAAAAAGAAAGAACGAACGAACAAGATTGGGTCAGAACTGGCCATGAACTTGCTGTGGAACCTTGAGGAAGTCCTCCCCTTGGCTCTGGCGTCCAATTTTCTCATCTGCCATAAAAAGTTCAGCTAAAACAACTCCTCTGCTCCATCCACTGTTGATCCTCTTTTCCAAGATGTTCTGGAGTGTGGTGATGCCAACGCAGCTGGCCCAGGGCTGCTTCATTCACTCACTTAGACAAGGCCTGAGTGTCAAGATTGTATTGGGTGCTGGAGACAAAATGGGGACAAAGAGAAGGATGTGCACTACCTTCGCAGCCTCTGATGTTATTTGCGTAAACTTGTTCTTTAATACTGGACTTACATTTCTACATAACGTTTTTGTTATGATGTTTTTAAAGTAAATTTATTTTATCAAGGAAGTAACATATTTGGTATGCTGGTTTATTTGGAATATACATTAAAATAACTACATAACTTAAAAAAGGTCATACATGAGCTGCCCCTGAAAATCACCTTCCATGCCTGGGCATCTTACTTTTGGAGGTTTAACATCGGCACTGTAAGGCTCACAGAGTAGTCAAGTCAG